TTTTTTTTTTTTTTTTTTTTTATTTTAACTCTAAATTTAATGGTGTTTTGAGTTTTGTTAATTCTAAACTTAATTTGATAGTTTTATAAACGTTATATATTAGGAGTTTTATCAATACAAGATCTGAAAGATTGGTAAACTATCAATGCGGGGCCTGAAAGATTTTTTTTCTCAATTCGGGACCTAAATGTTATAAAACTATCAAATTAACATTTAGGTCCCGAATTGAGAAAAAAATCTTTCAGGCCCTGCATTGATAGTTTACCCATCTTTCAGGTCTTGTATTGATAAAACTCCTAATATATAACGTTTATAATAAGTGTTGCTTATTACTACAGAAGTGTTAGATAAAATAATAGATAGAAAGGGAAACAATAACACTCGTTAAAATGTTACTTATAATCTAGAGTAACACATTTCTAAATGCGTGAGTGGGGATTGATTGAGAGTTCGATTAGTTCATAGCGATTGACGATTGTTTGATTATATGCTTTCGAACCTTTGAGTTTCTTCTTTCCACCTAGGGTCTTAGGGTTCTTAGTCATTTTTCTCTTTATTTCGCTTTTTGTTGCAAATTGAGTATATATTTGCATTAAAGTGTTTGTCTTGCTTTCGATCTTGCCTTTAATTATGTTACTTAGCTTAAATCAACCACTGTTTGTTATGTTTTTGTGTTTATTTTTATGTGTTTATTTGTGTTATTAAGTCGGTTCTAGGTTCGTTTTGTGTCGACCGGTCCATTTTATTGCATTTTGTGTGATTTTTTATTTTCTCTTTTATTTTATATTTTGGCGTAATTTTCCGGACTTTGTTATGAAATTTCAGATTATTCGGAGGATGAATGAGGAAGAGTCGAGAGAAGCCCTCGAGAAGTTCGAGAAGTTTCAAGCCATTCGTGCGAACCGTTTCCGGTCGAGTATGTCGATTCCTAGCCACGCCCAAGTGAGTCGTGCCCGCGACCGCGCGCGCCTGCGCACGCACTGCCCCGCACGCCCGCACATCGCCGGAACTCGCGACCTCGCGCCGCTCTCCACGACCTCGCGGACGCAAAGCAACAGCCAACCACGCACACACTTCAAGCGGCGACCTAGCGGATTCCCTGGCGTGCTCGAGAGCCCCGTGCGTACTCCTGCCAACGTAGCTCGTGACCACGCGGAACACTTCGCAACCTCGAGAGCACCGCTCACCCGCGTGTCTGCTGCTCGCGTGCTCGCGGAAAGCACCGCGATACCGAGAGTGCCCGCGCACGCCTGCACCTGTCTACTGTTGCACGCACCGTGCCGCCCGTGCACTCTCAAATCTGCCTGCGAGATCGAGAGTGTTTCCAACGCCCGCACCCGTGCTAACCGTCACCTGCGAGCTCGCGGATTTTGTAGAGACCTCGAGAGTGTCCCATTTAATCTGCATGTTTTAGTGTGTGTTTTGTGCGGGAGTATAAATATTTTCGTTCATTTGCATTTTGAGGATACAACTCTCATTTTTTTACTTTTCCCACTTTGGGAAATTAGCTTATGTTTTATTTTTGCTCTCTAGATTAGGAGTTTATGCTATTTTACGGGAAATTTTCCGGCGACTTTGGTTTCTTTCAAGTTTCGAGCTTTTGACTCTGTTTTTCATCGTCTGCGCAATGGAAGAATGAGTATTTAGTTTTAAAGCTCTTTACTTCGGTTTTTGCTCCGCTTTTACTTATAATGTTCATTAGGATAAATTTGGATTTGATTGATGATGGTGGAAATACTTGTACTTGATTGCTTGCTTGAGTAGATAGAGTCGTTAATTGCTTGTTGATCTCGGTTAGACGACTAGGGTTAGCAATCTAATGCTCATAGCTTGTTTATTTCGTATGTCGATTGATTATCATCCCGGTATGGTTATGGCATGAGACTCCGGTGATCTAGTTTGCTAATTGCTCGTGATTTGATCTTGTCTTTAGTTAATTGCTTGTTTTTAAGTGCTCGTTTAGTGTTAATCAACTATCCAATCAATTGCTTAGAATATTTAGGACTTTATTTTCTCTTTTTGTGATTTGGACAATCATTTAGTAGACAAAGCTCCAAATAGCCTTCCCTCGAGATCGACCCGAGTCGGGTAACTCGGTTATCCTTTGCCCATCAAATCTCTACTAAATAACCACCATATTGCTAATGAAATGCTTAGGAACTTTTATTTTCTATTTTTGTGAATTAATCATTGTTTGAATTCGATTCCGAACAACCTTCCTCAACAGACACGACTCGAGGTCAGGATTTATCTCGTACTCGGATAAAAACTACATACACTATGCCAAACTGAATGCAGGCTAAAGGAGAAGCTTTGACCTTGTTGAAAATAGCCGAGAAAAGAACAACTCCAAACTGGTGAGGAAGAGAAGTTGGGGACTCAAGATGAAGGGGAAAGTTAAACATTTTCTTTGGACATGTTCCTCTAACATCATTCCTATGAATTTTCATCTCATAAAAAAAGGGTTGGAGTAGGACTACACTTGCAAGGCCGGTGGGGAAGGGCCTAAAACTCTCGAACATCTTTTCTTCATCGCCCTAGAGCTAAAAGAGTTTGGCGAGTTGCTCCAATCTTTTGGGATGGGCTGGAACGGAAAACAAAGAACTTCAAAGGCTGGTGGTCCAAAGTTTGTGCTCTCAATAAGTCGCCTATCTAAAAAACAAGGATTCAACTCACACAACTTACTTGTTGTGGTGGCTTTAGAAGGCAAAAAATCTTTGGGTGTTTCAATACAATTGGCGATCAGAGAAGTCAAATGTAGATATTGTTGTTATTGAATGGTTAGAACTTATTGGTTATTAGTCTTAGCTTGGTTAATCTGCTAGGCCATTTGTGTTCAGTGGCATGTTTTCCATTTTGCTTGTAGTTTCTTGAATTATTGGTTGTTGTCGTTGGTCTTGGGATAGTATGCAGAGATCAACAAAAGAATTAGAAGAAAATGGATGTAAGCATAGTACGTAATGTATTATTCATGGGATGTGTGTCCCCTCTCCCTCTTCAGGGCTGGTGAAGGCAAGATTTATACATGAAAAAAAAAAGGAAGAATATAATGATGAAAATATGCCAACTAAGGGTGCGAGGTAGTGACACGTATTCCCATGAAAGAACTCGTCTTTTGATGACGGAACCGGACATGCAATTTCTTTATCAGTCTTTTTTATCGGTCGTTATTTCAAACTTCAGAGAGATCGGCAACATGAAGCATTTTGTGCCAGTTAGTAGATCGACGCTCTGGTTGTGTAGGTAGATTGGCACATGGTCGATCGTGTCGATTCTTGGGCTTCTTCTCTTATATCATGAGCCCGAAACTATGTGAACCCAATTCATTTTGTGGCCGACGTGTGGCTATGCAAAATGGACCGGTCCAGAACATTAAAGTCTGATGTAATATATTATATATAAAACAACCTTAAAATTCCAAACACATAATCTTCCTCAAAACACAAATACAAAAGTGTTAAAAAAATAAAAAATAAATAAAAATAAAAAAGCAAATAACTACCTCCATTCCTATAAAAAAAATTAAAAAAAAATAATAATAATAACCACACAAAACAAAAGACCACCATAAAAAACTCCTACAAAAAATCTCATAGCACAACCCAACAAACAAAAACTCCTCTTTTCACTCCCCACTCCACAACCCACCCCTTCCTTCCACCTTATTTCTACCACCCTTCCCCCCTCTCCCCAATCCTCATATTTTTCCTCATCAAGCTCACCCTCAAGGGGAAAAATAAAAATAATAATAATAAAAAACAGCACAATTAGAAACAAATAAAAAAAAAAAAAGAGAGAGAGAGAGTAACATAGAATAAACAAGAAAAATAACCCACTTCCCACACCACCACCATCTAAGCAAAAGAGACAGCAATGGCCCTCCTCTTCCTCTCCCTCCTCCTCCTCTCCTCCTCCCCCGCCGCCTTCTCCCGCCTCTCCTCCGGGGGCCTTGGCCTCACCACTTCCCTCAAGGCCGCCGGCACCAACCCGGCCGTCTCCAAGATCTGCAAAAACACCGACCACCCACAGCTCTGCCTCTCCTCCATCGCCCCATTCCTCAGCTCTGGTCACTCGGTTGACGTCGAGTCCGTCCTCCGTTTCGCCGTCGAGGCCGGTAGCAAGTACGCTAAGGAAGCCCTCTCTGCTGCCAACGGGTTTGCCGCCAAGACCGCCACACCAGAGGTTCGGTCCACGCTCAAGGACTGCAAGGAGAGCTACGACACAGCAGTGGAGAATTTCCAGAAGACTCTCGACGCCTTCGCCACAAAGGACATCGGCACCATGCAGAGCGTGCTGAGTGCCGTGATCACTTTCGTCGGGGACTGTGAGGACGAGTTCACGCAGATGGGCACGCGATCCCCACTATCGAAGTATGCCGAGACGCTGACGGAGATGACTAGCAACTGTTTGGCCATTGTTTCACAGATGAAGTGAAGATTGTCGCAATTTATTCGAAACTTTTTTCTTTTTTTTTTTCCGTGGTGTGATGTGGGTTTACGAAGAAAAAAAGAAAATGTTGTGCTGTTGGCATGGAAACTCAATAATTAGGTCTTGAGAAATCTTATTAAGTTATTATTTTGTTTCTTTTTTTTTTGGGAGTTTTGTTGGACTTCATCATGATGTTAATCAGTCTTTCTTGTTGTATTTCTTGTGTTTAGAATATACACAGACATGCATGCTTATGAGAAGCTTGTGGAATTGTAAGTTTGTCGAAAACTTTTCGATCCATGATGAGATGGAAATCAAGATGTTTCTTGTTAGGATATGCAGTGTAGATCTCACTTTGAGATTTTGAGGTGTACCTAAGAATATTGAGACACATTTTGATCATACATAGAATGTTCTAAGCATTTTGATTCTTGTTTCTCTATTTTACTTTTTATTTTACAAGAAATTAAATAATGTTTGAATCAAATAGGATCATTATAGAAAAAATAAGAAAGCTCGAAGCTTGATTCTATTGAAGCTTAAGAATAATGGAGTCAGCTTGATGTTCTTGATCGGTGGCTAAGGACATGTTGCATTCATCTTTTATCTAGGCTAAGGAATACTCTATAGAAACTATAGGTTAAGCATCAACTAATGATCAGTAGGATCGTTTGAAGGTAAAATTTGCGATTTCGTCCTGTAAGTGGCACCTATTGGAGGTTTGGTCCTCTCCACTACCTACTTTTGGATCACATCCCGAAGGACAAAAATACCTGAAAAATCGTCAAGTAATTCTTACTAGCTAGCTGTTTATTGTGTTTTTGTGCTTATTTTTATGTGTTTATGTGCGTAGTTGAGTCGATCTTAGGTTTGTTTTCTTGTCTAATCGGTCCATTTTAGTTGTTTCCGTGTGATTTTATTTTCTCTTTTGTTTTTGTATTTTTTTTGGCGTATTTCCTTGTCTCCTTTGGTGTATGTAGGTCCACATTGTGCGTGATTGGGAGAAGACGAGCCATTGTCCAAACCGTTGTCCATGTTCTTGATGCCGAGCTATTCCGAGATGAGAAAGTCTAGACATTTGATCGAGCTATATGAGCTTCCTTGATAGAGATCACCCTTTTAGTCACCCGAGTGAAGGAATCAAGTTGAAGGTCACATTCGCTGCGAAATCTAATTCGCGGACCACAAGAGGGTACTTGGTGGCCAATCCTAGACACTCGCCCGCGAGTTCATTTTCGAGACCCGCGAAACAACCTTCTATGCGCAAGAGAAGGATGCCACTCGCCGCGAACCGCATTTGGCGCCCTGCGAAACGACTTGCTTGCACCTCACCATCCATGCACTCTCCGCGAACCAAATTTGGCGCCCAGCGAAACAGCAACTTGTGCCTCCTTAGCCTAGCACTCGCACGCGAACTTCATTTGGCGAGCTGCGAAGTGCATTTTTGTCTGTTATTTTCTTCCCAACTCGTTGCGAACAATATTTCGAGACCTGCGAGCTGCAGATTCATTAAATGTGTGTGCACCTAGTGTGTGCTTTTTGGAGACCACTATATATATGCTTTTTCCTTTGTATTTTGGACATCCACTACTCGTTATTTCATTTTTCTTTTTTGGGAACTTAGCTTATGTTATGTTTTGTTCTCTAGATTAGGAGCTTATACTATTTTCCGGGAGATTTTTCGGCGACTTTGGTTTCTTTCAAGTTTCGAGCTTTTGACTCCGTTTTTCATCGTCTACGCAATGGAAGGATGAGTATTTAGTTTTAAAGCTCTTTACTTCGGTTTTTGCTCCATTTTTACTTATAATGTTTATTAGGGTAAATTTGGATTTGATTGATGATGGTTGCAAAGTCGAGACTTGATTGCTTGCTTGAGTAGATAGAGGAGTTAATTGCTTGTTGATCTCGTTTAAGGATTAAGACCCGACTAGGGCTTAATCACTTAGGGTTAGACGACTAGGGTTAGCAATCTAATGCTCATAGCTCGTTTATTCCTTATGTCGATTGATTATCATCCCGTTATGGTTATGGCATGAGACTCCGTTGATCTAGCTTGCTACTTGCTCGTGATTTGATCTTGCTTTTAGTTAATTGCTCATTTTCTAGTACTCATTTAGTGATAATCATCCTCCAATCCAATTGTTTAGAATGTTTAGGACTTTATTTGATCCTTTTGTGATTTGGACAATCAACTAGTAGATAAAGCTCCGAATAGCCTTCCCTCGAGATCGACCCGAGTCGGGTAACTCGGTTATCCCTTGCCCACCAAATCTCTACTAAACAGACGACATCAACATGTAGACTCATCCCAAGTCGATTGGTTTTCTTAACTACTCGAGGATCACCGACGATCCAAGGACGATTCCGGGATGACTCACTTAAGTCGATTAAGATGATACTCATAAGTCGACTAAAACGAGCGGGCATAATACAATCTTCGGACGCGCAAACAACCAAAGTCGACTCAAAAATACCCGAGGTTGACTTATAGTGCCTCGAGGCACTGAGACCTCCGACGACCTCTATATATACTTCAACATATCATAAGGATATCTCTCAACAAGAGGGAATCTACATGAGATAAGAATGAATCTGGATGCTGACTAAGAGGTAACGGAATGCGAACCGACCAGGGCATTTTGGACACTTCGCGTAAGTCGGCCAGGGCATTTTGGGCACTTCAAGTAAGTGTTTCTACCCCTACATAAAGGAGCTGAGGTAACTCCAAACCCTAACTCTCTCATTCTCTACTCATTTCCCAGCTGCTGCTCCCAGTGAGCAGAGCTCATCTTCTCCACTCTTACTGACTTGAGCGTCGGAGGCTCTTCACCAGAAACACCTCCGGTGTTGAGTTCCTGCAGGTGTTCGCAGTGGTTTAAGGACGATTTGAAGGCGATTCGAGCAGATTGGAGCTCATTTCCACCGGTTCACTCCATCTCTAGGAGGAGAACCATCATGTTGTAACCTAGAACTTTTCCTCATCTCTTTGACCCCACTGCCCTCTTCACGATTGCTAGCTGCATTGGCAATCCGATCGAGGTTGATATCGCTAAGGCCAACCGAACAAGATTATCGGTTGCACGAGTGCGCATCGAGATAGACCTCCGTGGTGAGCTCATCGAGGAGATTAAGCTCAATCAGGCTGGTAAGATCACCGTCCAGAAGGTGGTCTATGAGAGAGTCCCACCATTTTGTGCCCTCTACAACCATGTGGGACATGCTGCGGCTGACTGTTATACCAGGGACAACAAGCCCCGACTGTCTCTTCCCGCACGCCGCTGCGTGGCTAGTACGGTTCCATCATCTGATCCAGGGGATTTAAAGGGAAAGAGTTTGTTTGTAGTATTTTTGGGCAATTGGTAACCGAGTTACCCGAACTCGGGTCGTTCTCAAAGTAAGGCTCTTCGGAACTTGGTTCACTATCTAGTCGCCAAATCACACAATCGAAAAGGTCCTAAACATGCTACTCGCTATTTGGGGGTTTGAATTAAAGCTAGACTAATCTCTGAAATTGAAGGCAATTGAAAGCAATTAACAAGGCAAGAGAAAGCACGCAAGAAGATGAGAGAACTCAAGGGGGAAAGAGAGATTTTGGTTCGCTGGATTCTCTATGATTAAACACGCATAAATAACCGAACATTTCCATGCGAGCTAAAACCCTAGGTAGCTAAACCAAACTCTAGCACAAAAGGAGCAAGAATTTAACTCCTAATCACAGTTAGTCAAGCATTCACGATCTAAAGATTCAATCTTTTCCTCCAAGCAACACAAGCACAATATCAATTTTCACAAAAGCAAACAAAGATATACGAAGTAATGAGGCTTAAGACTAAGTACCCACTCTTACACGCACTTGGAAGAAGAAACAGAGTCAAAATATCGAAACTTTACTCGAAACAATGTTGCTGGAAATTTGCCGAAAAACTTGATTCATATGCTCCAAACCAAAACATAAAAAGAGAAAAAAGAAAATAGAGAGGATTTTCCCAACTTAAAAGTTGGGAAATGAGGGTTCTTATCAAAAATACAAAGCATAATATCTTTTATAGCTACACCACAAACACACACTGAAAACACGTACATTTAGTCAAACACTCTTAAGGTCGCCACAAAATTCGCGAGCTCGCGAGTGTGCAAGGCGTTGGCAGCACAGGGGCGCGCGAAGATGCACGGGCACTCGCTGGCTATGGTGGCACTTTCGATGTCGCGTCCATTCCCGCGAGTGCGCGGGTGCGCGAGGCAGCAGACGTGCGGGCGTAGGGGTCGCACACTCTCGACCTCGCGGGGCTTTCCGCGGGCGCGCGGCGTGTGCTATATCGCGCACTCTCGACCTCGTGGGTGAGTCCGCGGGCTCG